CTCGCATTGATTTTCCGCACTTGAGATATTCTGGGATTGTACTCTGACATGATACTATTTTATGACTTGGGTTTTCAGACATGATATATGGATTTACGGAATGATATCTTTTATGTGGTTTTCTTATGGATGCTTTTATAATCAGTTAATTAAAATGAAATTTTTGGGACTCAAAATTTTGGGATGTTACATATCATGTGTGACTTAACGTATTCACCCAATGGCTAACTCCCATCACTCAGAGTCCCACAAAGCACAAACCAAGTAGCATTCAGACGAAAGGGAAACCTAACCACATGATCCAAACATACTGCTCTATCCTCTACTCAGGAGTCTATACTAGCATGCAATTTATAAGGCTCATACACATATAATAGGCACATAAGGCATCCTCCTAGATCCTTAGTCCTAATCTAGCATGCTGTTCTACTGAACTGATAATCATAACATAAACTTGTATGGGTACTTTGGGGAAAAACTTACTTGAGCTCGGCCGGTCGCGCACATCACACACCTTGTTCTTTCTTAACACTTTTAACTTAGCTTTTAGAAAAGCATTTTCTTTGTAAAAATCTTTTAATCCCTCGGTTTGAGTCCAGACACCCCGGAGGGTGTGTCTGAATCCCTCAAACCAAGGCTCTGATACCAACTTGTAACATCCCAAATTTTGAGTCCAAAAATTTCATTTTTAATTAATTGATTTATAAAACCTCCATAAGAAAACATAGTAAAGACATATCATTTCATAAAACTAATATCTTATGTCTGAAAACCAAACCATAAATATAACAACGTCAGAGTACAATCCCAAGAATCTCATAATGCGGAAATCCAACGTGTGTGTATGATGTGCAGCTACCGCGCCGGCTCCTTCCCCTTCGTTGAAGAGGTACCTGAAACAAAACTGAAAACTGTAAGCACGAAGCTTAGTGAGTTCCCCCATCGTACCACATACCATACAATCACATAACATACATATACTGTCAGGCATATCTGGGGTGCCCGACCTACCCCTTCGGTCCTCTCGACCGGATACTGCCTAGCATATTTGGGTGCTGGCCTCCCCTTCGTTCCTCTCGATTGGATACTGCCTAGCATATATGGGTGCTGGCCTCCCCTTCGGTCCTCTCGACCGGATACTGGGGACTATTTCACCCCTCTACTACTACCACATAACATATAAGACATAATCATATTCTATCTAGCATGACTGGGTATGACTACCCCCTTCAGCCCTATCGACCGGAAATCTTGGGGACTATCTCCCCTACTGCTACTAGCATATAACATCATATCATACTAGCACATAACACATCAGGTAGTAGCAAACCTAGATGAATATCACAAAGACAGTCATCTAACATACAACCCCTACTGGTGGGCCGACATTGTGGCCGTAGACCCACTGCTACTGGAAGGTAACTCACCTCGCAAGGCTGACTGCTGAAAAGCTGATCGGCAGATGTCTGACTGCTGCTCCGGTGATCCTCCGGCTATAAATCCATAAAACACTTAATCAGACACTGATAACTACTCTTAGGGTAAAATGACTATTTTACCCCTGACCAAGTCAAAGTCAAAGTCAACTTCCAGTTGACCTGACTCGTCGAGTTGGGCCGCCAACTCGTCGAGTCCCTATCCTTTCATCTGCCCTTCCTCAAGCCCCCTACTCGTCGAGTTTAGCAACGAATCGACGAGTTCTCCTTCTAAAACATCCTGGAATGAACCTTCATCCGGCTCGCCGAGTTGTATGAACAACTCGTCGAGTTCATCCCCATCCTATGAACAAGTCTGCCCTTGACTCGCCGAGTTGTATGAACAACTCGTCGAGTTCATCTTCGATCGTTGGGAGATTGCCTTGGACTCGCCGAGTCTGTTCATACACTCGCCGAGTCCAATGATTCCCAGGTCTATGGCTAAGTCCAATGCGTTGGGTCATTCCCCCGGACCCCTCTAAGACCATTCTAACACTCACTGGGTTCCTTCGAACCATAACAGAAAAGGGAAGTCAAGCCATGGACCCGCCGAGTCCCAAGAACGACTCGCCGAGTCGAGAATGACCAAGTCTTATTTCTCGATTTCTGACGTACAACACTTGACCAAAAGATAGATCTAGGCTTCTAGGATCGATCTAGCACGTAAAGTTACAAACTTTACGTGCATGCATGGGACTATGAGCTCAAATGGCCCTAAATGAGACTCTTAAGGTGCATGGGGCTCTCCAAGGCTCCAAAATCAGTCCCTTTCTGCCTTGTAACCCCTCAAAGACTTTGGATCTGAAGTCTTAGCCCCCAATCATGCTTGCACTCATGGTTGGTCACCAAGAATGGCTCCTAAAAGCCCTAAATTACCCCAAAAAGGGATCTAAAACATGAAAGAGCAAGGTATCAGCTTTATACCTCTAAAGAACTGCAGAGGGTGCACAAACTCGAACTCCTATGGCCTCCTCTTGATTCCTCAAGCCCTTCCCTTCCTTCTTATGTTCCAAAATCACCAAAAACCACCACAAAGGCCTTAGATCTTTACACAAACGATTAGGGTTTGATATGGAGAGTTCTGAGAGCAATAGGGACGAAGGGAGGCTGAATGAGATGCTTAAATAGGGTGCAATCCCTTAAATTAGGGTTTTGTCCAGTCAGGGCCTACTCGTCGAGTCTGGCTGCCGACTCGTCGAGTAGGTCATTAAACTCCCGGGTCCAAGTCGCTCCTACTCGTCGAGTTGGCCATCAACTCGCCGAGTTCTAGGCAAAAAAATGAATAATACTTGAACGAAATTCATACCAGAAACCGGTGCTACACTATGAAATTTCGTCAAAGGTCTTTTGGCATGAAACACCCATCATATAGATAGTTTGAAATAATATTTTTACAATAATTTGAAAATCATTCAATTTAAAATTATCTGCAAAAAAACATTCAAACACATAGATGTCTTTTTTTAACAATTTTAAAAGTTAAATGTTCAAAGTAAAGTATACAATGGATTTATGGTTTACTCAAAATACAAAGGTAAATTACTAATTTTTTTTTCAAATATAATACTAAGAAAGTCTTCCAAATATTTTATCATTTCATAATCTTTAAGTCCACATATAACACTTATAATATCAACACATGTCAAAATAGTACGTTAAACATATAAAGCCAAAATAGTACGTTAAACATATAAAGCTATGTGAGTAATACTGATGTTAAGCTAAAAAGGAAATAACAAGGTTATAAAAAGTACTATACCCAAATTTCTTTTGAAACTTCATAAACTAACTAACATCATTATTGGGGAAAATATGGAAAAACACAAAATACATTGTTATAACGTCGTAATACTCAATAAACTTCATAAAAAACAAACATCGTAACAATTTAATGTACGATATGGAATCAAAACCCAAACCTCGTGTCATCCAATCTCATGTCGTAATTGTCCCTTATTCTTAAGGACTTCCTAAGTTAGAGGGATCGACATACCAAATCAAAAGGATCAACATCTTAACTCAAAATGATCGACATCCCAACTTAAATGGAACGTCGTTCCAAGTCACAAGTGTATATCCTACCAAATAAATTAACAAGCATTATCATGACGTAAACTTGTTTGAAAACCATGTAAATTGTACCCATTTCAAAATTCTTTCTTAAAGCATTTTAGCGAATGCAACAATTAAATATCTACAGTATATCAAACAAATTATGCACATAATACTGAGTGAATAAAAGTAAATCCAAAGAACAAGATCAAATATGGACACATGTTATATGATAAATACTCACGTCAAACATGCAAATAATCTTATATGTGGCTTTGCTAGTTGAAAGAAACGTCAATATCATCTAAAGAAAAACATCAAGTCTATGAGCGTTTGACAAAACGTTTCGTTTTGAACAGAAAGTCTCGTTTGGCACTACAAGTTTCTAGCGTTTAGTTTAAACAAAACGCTCCAAATCCAAATGTTATTTCATGTAGCGTTTAGAAGCTACCCGTTATTTTTGTCGAACATATATCATTGACAATAATTGGTTATTAACTTTTTGTTTATGTTTTCTAATTCATTTTACTTTTTTTTTCCATTATATATCGGTTCAGGTTCATAGAAGAGTAGTTGAAGCAACTAAAAATTTAACAAATCAAAACTAAATGATTTGGGAAATATGTCAAAATCAGGTTAGTACATGACCGCGTGAAGAACAAAAGAATTCACATGGCTTGTGAGTTTATACGAGAACCTGCCATTACAAACAAAATCCCCAAAATGCTTCCATAACTTATCCAATTTGACTCAAACACCTTTAATTAGAATTTTAACGACTTAGGGTCACTAGAATTCACAACTTCATTTAAACATAAAATTGCAACATAATTAACATCATTAGCTCATGAAACAAAGTGTTTATCACCAAAAATCAAGTTTAAGCTTGAAAACTAACTTTAAAATTTATGTTTATCCTCAACAAAATGATGGCACATCCTATTTCCTCTCAATTTCCAACAATTTTGATTATAGACATAGCCGATGATTGTCATCAAACATACTGAAAAATCAATTGAGAGTGTAATTCCATGTAAAATACCAAACACATATAAAGGTTGAAAAGTTGATAAATATTAACATTAATTTCGTATAAACTCGAACTCTTATTACAGGGTATATTTGAACTCAAACGTGATAAAAGCAGGTCGATCTTTACAATATTAACGGAGAATAATGTTTAACTATAGTATAATAACAAAATAAACTGAAAATCAAGAATTCATTGAAATTCGATATAAAATTATATATAAAGTTTGAAAAATTGATTTCATTCTAATTTCTTAAAACTAGAGAACTTTTATCATAAATATCTTATATTATATTCAAACTCAAACTCGATCTTCCCATCTCGAATAAGTAAACAAAAAGACTTTGAAATCAAAATATATTTGTTTAATTAAGAATAAAGTTTAACTAATAATTCAAAGGAATAAATGGATTGAAAATGGGAATAGGGTTGGTGAATGGTGAGGCTACAGTCGACATTTTACCAACCCCAACCCCAACCCAAATCCCAACTCTCTTATAAAACCCCATCACTCCCCACCTATCTCTCTTCGTCTTGCTCCTCAGATCGTGCATACATTACAAGCTTTTGCACTTCTCTCCTTCCTAAACCTCCTGTACAATGGCCGAGTATGAAGGAATTCTTTTGGGAATGGGAAACCCCCTTCTCGACATTTCAGCAGTAGTCGATGAGGATTTCCTCAAAAAGTAATTCTCTCATTCTACGCAATCTTTGTCTGTTTCATGTTTTTATTTATTTTTGTCTATAGTGGAAAACCGATGGGATTGTTTCGATCTGACTTAATATCATTCTGATCTGGATAGTTTTGTTGTTTATGTCTCTTTTTAGCAAGAGATCTATTGTTCTCTGCCGACTAAAACCGACTAAATTTGCCTATGAATGTAGATTTGTTTTTGAACAGTTTGACATGCTTTCGTCAGTAGAGTCATTGTTCTTTTCTATGAGGTTTTAGATCTAGGGTTTTAGATCTTGTAAGAAATGTAGCAGCTTAGATAGGACATGAGGCTTAAGTAGTCGAATCCAAGTCTGAATAGCAGGATCAAACCTTATAATTTTAGCGCCATGCCTAATTCGAGCAGAATTATCAAACCTTGAATCAGTTCTGTTGTTCTTTGATTACAGATATGTACTTTCAGTGTCGTTATATAAAAAATAAAGTATCCTGTTATAATTCCCCTTAAATCTCAGTATATCAATATAAATTTTGGATCTTAAGTTTATTGACTTATTCACTTGACCAAGCAGTTTTAGTCGGTGGTCTTGTTTTTTAGCACTACTGGTATTTTGAGTTAGCCTTTAGTTAACATCAAGAGTTTTCTGGACCTTTTGTTTCTTCTACTATGCAAAAAGAAAGATTAATGTGTGGCTAGATGATGTACAATATATGTCTTGTAATGGCTTGTGGTCTTTTGTGGATCAATGTTTATTGCACTCTAATCTTTGTTTGTTTGTAATTGTAGATATGATGTCCAACTAAATAACGCCATTCTTGCTGAAGACAAGCATTTGCCCATGTAAGTGTTCTTATCTTACTTTATCATGGGACATGGATACTATCTTATTACATTATAGATGATATTATGTTATTCACCTTAATATATCTGTACTTGATTCAGAAGTAGCACATTTCTGATAATAACAAGGGATGTTACCTTGGTTTTTATGGTCTTGTTCTGGTTTGACTTGTTTTCAGGTACGATGAAATGTCATCCAAATTCACTGTAGAGTACATTGCTGGAGGTGCTACTCAGAATTCAATCAGAGTTGCCCAGGTAAGTAGCTGCAACATTTTTGTCATTGCTGTTCATGAAAGTGAAAAAAGACTGATTTACCCTTTTTATTGCTGGTTTGCAGTGGATGCTTCAAATCCCTGGTGCAACAAGTTACATGGGTTGTATAGGAAAGGACAAGTATGGTGAGGAGATGACCAAGAACTCAAAAAGTGCTGGAGTTAATGTACTATTCTTGTTCCTTTTGAGTGTCTTGTAATTCTATTATCATGATTCATGAATTACTGATTATATATATATATATATTTTAGTAATAATGATGATGATGTTTATCAGGTGCACTATTATGTGGATGAGGCTGCACCAACTGGAACATGTGCTGTTTGTGTTGTTGGTGGTGAGAGGTCACTTATTGCCAATCTATCTGCTGCCAACTGCTACAAGGCAGACCACTTAAAGAAACCAGAGAATTGGGCTTTGGGTAAATCTTTTTAACAATTTTAGTCTTGTTTTTTTATATATTATATTGCTAACACTAATACTAAGTTACTAATATTAATTAATCATCTTGGACAGTTGAGAAGGCCAAGTACATCTATATTGCTGGCTTTTTCCTTACAGTGTCTCCTGAATCAATCCAGCTTGTAGCTGAGCATGCAGCTGCAGCCAACAAGGTAATGAATGAGTAATAAACCGATTCATATGGATTGAAAATTTCTTATCTCTCTGACATTATTACCCCTGCTGTAGGTTTTCACAATGAACCTGTCAGCACCATTCATCTGTGAATTTCTTCAAGGATGCTCAAGAGAAAGCATTGCCTTATGTGGATTATGTTTTTGGAAACGAAACTGAAGCAAGAACATTCTCAAAGGTTCATGGGTGGGAGGTAAGAAGAAAAAGATTGGTTAAAAGATGAGATATGACATGACATGTTATAAAATAAAAATTGGTTATGATGATGTTTTACAGACTGATAATGTGGAGGAGATTGCAATTAAGATCTCTCAGTGGCCTAAAGCATCAGGGACATACAAGAGGATCACTGTGATCACTCAGGGAGCTGATCCAGTTGTGGTTGCTCAAGATGGAAAAGTTTCAAAGTATCCAGTCATCTTCTTGCCAAAGGAAAAGCTTGTTGACACCAATGGAGCAGGTTTGTATTGTATTCTAGTTTTTCTCATGGTTTTGCTAAAATGGATGAAGAAATACTAGATTTTTACTAAAATGGTTTTAATTTGTGTTTTAGGTGATGCGTTTGTTGGAGGATTTTTGTCTCAATTGGTTAAAGAAAAGCTGATTGAGGAATGTGTGAGAGCTGGATGTTATGCCTCAAATGTGATCATTCAAAGATCAGGGTGCACCTACCCAGAGAAGCCTGACTTTAGCTAGATTTCTTCATGAATGTGGTGGACCCAATTTTCTTTTAGGGTTGCTGTTCTATTATCTCTCATTATTATTGTTTACCTTGCATTATTATTATTAAACCTCTTAAACCAAATCAGCTGGTGAAAGTTGAGGTGTCTTTGTTTTGGAGGCCTGAAATTATGTGGTGTTTGTTGGTCTCGAAATATACGTTTTATAGTGATTAATAAGTTTTGTTGTAACTTTTTTTTTTGGTTAATGTAAAAGATTATTCAAGGATGAGTTGCTGATTGTGGTTTATATCTTTGTTGTATGTTTTCTGCTTGAATGTTGATATTGTGATTTTTGTAGAATATTAATTTTGAATAGAATCTCCAGGCTACATGGGAGAGGTTACTGATTATTGAGCTAAACAAAAAAGATACTCGCCATTCCTATTCCTAAAACAAACGTTGGCCTTACTTAGGAAAACATTGAGTTTGATTGAAAATGACAAAAAAAAAAATAATAATAATAATTGTTTACTTATCTGAGTGTGGGTGTAGATGGGTAATTTTATTTAATTTGTAATTTTCAGAAAAGTCTTTATATGTCGGATTGTTAATGATAGTCATTGTTTTTTTGAATGGAAGTCTACATAATATTATCTTACCATAATTGTATTCTCTCTTAGAAAGATGATATTAACTTATTGTATTATCTGTATATGACATTAGAATCTTATTGTATTGTATTATTTATGTATGACAAAATATTATCTTACTAGTTAGTACAAAGTATTATCATAATGCATTCTTTATTTTTAAAAGAAAATATTATCTTAGTGTAATTTTATCGCACATAGGGTAATATTTAACTATAATCGTACTATATTCTCTTTGTATAATAGAAGACATTATCATATAATAATCTTATTATTTTCTCCTTGTTGAACAAATTGTTTTGTCTTACTATAATCTTATTATTTTCTTTTTGTTTGAATGATGATTTTATCTTATTGTAGTCTTATGAATTCTCATTGTCTTATATAAGTACTATCTTACTACAATCTTATTATATTCATTCTGTCAGACATAGAGTACTATACTATTATCTTATTGTAAATTACTGTGTTTTTCTTGTTTGAATGCGAGTATTATTTTATTATAATTTTTATATATTCTTTCTATATGAAGGGTACTATCTTACTATGTTTCTCTATCTGACAAAGGAATTATTTTACAATAACTTTACTGTAATCTCTCTGGGTGACATAATATGTTATCTTAGTGTAATCTTGTTGTATTTTTTTGACATGATATTATTTTACTATAAATTTATTGTATTTTTGTATGATAAAATGGTTTTATATTTACTGTAATCTTACTGTATTCTATTTGTTGACGGATAATATTATTTTACTGTAAGACATGCTTTATTGTATGAATATGAATGTTGACCGATTAAGGAACACATGTGAAAGATAAGGGTCGCAAAAATAAGGATGTGGTAGACATGTGGTAAAACTTTGTTAGATTGAATATCAAGCGCAATAATAAAAAAAATGATGTAAGTGATGCCAATCATTGATAAACTAAGGGAAAGAATATTCAAACATGTCAAAATGACACAATTGGCAATTGCGGTTAGGAGGATGATATAGTTTTATCAATGGTGCGAGGAGAAAAACATAAGGTTAGACTTGAAGGAGTTGACTCTTATCAAGGAGATGACCTCATATTGGAGGGCATTGTTACAATTAACATTTTTGGCTAGGAAATTCTATATATGTATGATCTACTCTTGATGTACCTTGTAACTCTAAGATTGATGTTATACATATTATTCACTCAAAAACAACAATTCGGATCAAAACTCACTCGTGAAGCCCTAAACCTAATTCAACGCACTACACTCACTCAACTTAGGGCTTGTAACCCTAACTTTCCGGTAAACCCACAACTTGATTATTTTGGATTAAGAATCCACACTTAGGCCCTAATTGGGCCGAAATTCATTAAATATTAATGTTTGGGCCATAAGACTCCTCATGGGCCTTATTGGGCCGACAACCACCCATTTGTTTTCAATGGGCCGAAAATCCATTGTTTTTACCTCTTTTGGGCCGAGAACTAGTGTGTGGGCCCGATGGGTCGAAGATTTCTTATTGGGCCATACATCTAGGGTTGCTATTCTATTCAAGACCAACCTTTCTTTTTCTTTTCACCCCATATCTATTATCGGTTTTTATATATAAAAAAAAGATAAGAGGGTGATTAGTGTGTTGCCACCTCACTAATAACCATCAAGTATCAATTCTATTGTTTAACATATATTTATGCAACTAAGCTAGAACCTCCATGCAAAAACCACTTCACTCTCTCTCTTCCCTTCATATTCTCGGCTATAGGAGCCTCCACCACCATCTTCATTTCAACATACTTCAACTCCCATTTCTCTCTAAATCTACAAAGAATTCACTCATCCTTCCTCTTCAGATTTCGTGTGTGCTTGTGTGTGTGTTCAAGGATACTTCATCAAAGTTCATCATTCTTGGTAAATTACTTCCATTCAAGAAGTTAACTTCATTTTTCACACCCCCGAACCAGACGACGAAATCGTCCGGGGGCTTGTGTGACTATCAATTGAATTATCATCACAGTGAATATACATGAAACATAACACAATCATCACCAAACATTGCATATTACAACTGGTATTGTTCACATCAAGTACATTGTCTTAGGTTACATGTTCCCAAAATATAAATTGTACGATGATTTGACATTACACAAAAATAAATTTCCTACACTTGAAAGTTCCCCTGCTTAACGATTACCTGAGAATACAAGTTATTTTGAAAACGGTCAACATATATAATGTTGGTGAGTTCATAAGCATGTTTAAATGAAAGTTATTGTATTGTTTGTAAAACCCAGAAAATCCGATATTTTCTGTAAAAAGTCTGAAAAATGATGTGAAAATCGAGTATAAATGCATGTGTGAATTTCATAGTAGTAACATGTATAAGTAAACGATCCAAAATTTCCTTGTATTGTATCTGTTGTAAGTAGGAGGTAATGAAAAATAGTATTTCCCCCAGAAAATCCGATATTTTCTGATTTATAAAAGTGTGGTAGTCCTTGCATTATCGTATGAATTGTTTCGTATTAATATGATTTAAGCACTTGAATTCCCGTAATGTACTGATGATAATGGATCTCTGTGTGAGTCGTTATAACCATGCATGATAGTGACTAATTTGCCTGTCTTGGCATTTTCCAAACGCCGGATTTTGATCAAGATTTTGTCACCCTAGACTGACCTAGTCTAACTGTAGCGAACAGCTCAGGTGTGGGGGAGTCACCCCCGTATAGATCTATACACAAACTCTCGCTCTCCCTCTAGGAGACTCTGATTATAACTACATGCTACGACCATACACTCAATGGAGTCAACCGACAAGTCTCACTAGATTCCAATTATTGCCACATGAATATGTATACGTTATATGTATTTAGAATTTCGAACACCATATGATACATGAATATGAAAGGATAAGGCCCAACAAACATGAAGAAAAGACAACTATGACCCATTAGACATGTAAGTTATTTCCAGGCTTGTTAAGTATGTCATGGACACATTAAAGCCCATTAAGCATACGATGAATTATTCCAGGCTAAATTAGCATGTAAATGGGCCACTAAGGCCCAATGACATGTAAAGACTAATTTAGGCCCATTAAGCATGTAATTGGGTCACTAAGTCCCAATAGACATGTATTGAATATATTGGGACCAATAAACATGCAAATGGGTCACGAAGGCCCAATAAGCATGTATAGCAAGTACTAGGCCCAATGTTCGTACCATTGTTGTATTTCGTTTGTTTGTTATAGTATGGATTCTTTTGGTTGAAACGTTTCCCCATAATGTTATAAAAGTCAAATGTTTGGTTATAACAATATTTTTAGTTTATATAAAAATATACCAATTTAACCGTAAGTTATAAATATTTATATCTTCGGTCCAGTTGTTTAATAATTGACATATTTGGCCCAAAAATACATATTTGGCGATTTCAGCCCCTTTTTCACCGAATATTTTATTTTTAACCCTTGTTTAAATAAAATGACATTTTTGGTCCTTCTTGGTGAAAATAACATTTTTAGCCCATTAGACCATCAAACTTAGCATTTTCGGCCCGATTATAAATTTATTTTACAATTTCGGTCCAAAATACGTTTATTGCCATTTCCAGCCCTTATTTAAAAATTTACATTTTTGGCCCAATTTCCGAAAACTTTACATTTTTGGCCCAATTTAGAAATAGGTGTCATTTTTAGCCTATATTTTTGTTCATTTCCTGTTTTTGGCTCAAGTTTTGATTAAATAACATTTTAACCCCTAAAAACTCATATTTTTCGCATTTTGGGCCCAAAAACCGTAAGGCCCAATTTTTAAGCCCATTATGCTAAAATTTACCCTTTTGGTCCTTTGAAAAGTGTGATTATCATAAAAACCCAATTTTATGCAAATTTGACCTTTTTGATCCTTATAAAAACCGTAAGTGGCAAAATTTCCCAAATCTTTTGTTTACTTGTCAAAAATGAACCTTATACAAGATCTTTGTTTTGTTTTTCACATCTTAGGCATGTATAACACTTTTATCCTTGTAGTATGATGTTTAGAGTGTTTTAGTTTATGGATCTCGCCCATTTTTGTTAGAGTATTCAAGATTCATCAAGATCTATCACATAATTACAACATAAACCAAGAAAATTACACATAACATGCATAAATACATAGATCTACACATAAACACTTGTATTCTCCCCCCAAAAACATGTAAAAACCGAAAACAAGGGGGTATGAACTCACCTTTGCTTGTTGTTCTTGGTTTTAAAGAAGAAATGGAGAGATCTCGGCCTTTAGCAAGCTTTCTTGAGTGATTTTCGAACTTGGGAAGTTTCTAAGAGTATGATCATGGAGTAAAGCTAGGTAAGAAGGAGTTCTTAATGTTAAAATGGAAGGAGATGTTTGTGTTTGATAACAACTTACCAAAGGTTGAAAATACTTGATGAAGATCCTTGAAACACAAGCAAAATTTCGAGATCCTTGATGGAAGGAGGAGGATGATCTTGAAAGTGTTTTGGAGAGAATTTGAAAGAGTGTGTGTGTGTGTGTGTTGCTAGCTCTCAGTCGAGAGAGATAAAGAGAGAGGGTGAGGGGAGGTTTTGCATGGAAACATGAGAAGTACCTTATTGTATGTTGTATAAAATGCCTTGTTGTCCTCTAAACAACAATGATGTGTCATGGTTTGG